GAATCTAGGAACAACTTGATTTCCCCATGTTCCTGACAGCATGACAATAATTTTTCAGAGAACACCTAGCTCTCTTAGCTGCTGACACATTTGGAAAGAGTACGATAAAGCTTTTGCCCTTAGAAGTCTCACACCCTCTGTGTGAGACAAAATACAGACAGGTCGTATAGTATAACCAGTAGCTCAGATGTTTCTGTGGTAAACCACCATGTTCTTCTAAGAGCTGCTTTTTGCCACTCTGTTAATGTTCCCAGCTGTTTACTTGTTCCCAGGTGTGAAATCAAATACAGGGAGAGCCGTGCTGGACTTCAGCGTGACTCAGTGCCCATCACCGTATTTCTTTGAAGGAAGGATCTGGCAAGTAGCACTACATGGGATCATGCCTTAAATAAGCACATGTAAATATGCAAACTTCAGTCCTGAGGAGTAATTTATCTGAAATGACTGCTTGCTTGTTCCCAAGAGAGTAGCAAAATAAAGCATACAGGTAGTAGGAGAAAGAGTTATTGCATGGTAGGTAAGTAAGTCTTCCCCTTCATCTCCTCTCAATACCGTCTGGATTCTGTACGGTCAGGCAAATCTCCTGCCTCCCCTTCTGGTCGCCGCATTAGAGTAAATTGGGACCACCTCTACTGAAGTCAGTGAAGAGTCATTAGCACATAACCAGTCAGACTTTTGGGACTTCAGATTGTATTTTATCCATTCAAATGTATATATTTAGAATAAGGTTCTTTGGAATGTGCTACATTAAGAACAAACATTTTGTGTCCTACTCTACAGCACTGGTTTACCTACAGATAAAAGCCTGTTCCTTGTACCTATATTTAGGGGCCACTCTGCAGTGACTTCCCTTATACACGGAGGAAGTTGAGTTGGAGTAACTCCAGTTACAGTGTGTGACATGATGCAACCTTACTGCAACTCATCTGCAGCAACAACACATATTGCAGCAGAAATGTAAAGAAACAGAAATAAATTTCGCTTTCCTAGAATTTGTATTTGAACTCTGAGCATGCATATGGTTCTGTGACAAAAGCCATTCAATTATTTTAACACTAGATATGTGGGAACTGATATCATGTGAATGTAACCTTTATCTGGACTGAATTCCCATTTATTTTGCCTTGTAGGATTGATTATGTAATGAGCTACAGAATTTCGTATAGCTACTAAATAAACAATGTATATGAGACTTTACATGGTCTGGGAAGGAAGCCTCTGGATCCATCCCTTCCCTGTTACACAGAAGGAAGAGTTCAGGGCATATGAAATTAACCATTGCGTTGGAGGAAGTGGTCTTAGGAAAATAAAATCTTAAACACACCCATGCCCCAACTCAGTTTCTGCCTGAGCCAACGATTTTCTGTGCAATCCCGGACAAATCATTTAGCTTATATCTGTAGTATATGATGTAAGATCCTGCAGAAATATCACAGTGACTTTGACTGAACTTTGAGAACTATTTTTTTCCTTACCTCACTGAAATTTTTAGGTCTTAAAAAGCTGGGACAGGTCACATAGAACATGTGGTACTGGGATAATAAACTGTGCATTTATCAAATATGGTAGAAGACATCAAACCATTGAAACTTTTGGGTCAAGATACTTTGTTTCATTGGTTGGTTCATTGGTTTATTTTTGGGAAGGAAAAAGCAAATACTTTAATACAAATAGGGAATTTTTAAAATAAAAACTCTTCTTATTTCTGAACCTGTTTACCTTAGATAAAATGGAATTCCTCAGAAAATTGCACTGTGGAATTAAGTGGCGGTAGGTCTGGAAACAAACTTTTTCCTGTATTTGTTTTTGCCCTTCTGCCTGTGTATGCGTGGATCCGTGAGCATACCAGGGAAGAGTGTGAACTGAACCTGGCCTGGCTGGTTCAATGTCCTTATCAAAACGACTTTGTTGTGTGTTTGGGGGAACAGCAACCTGACCTTAGTGATCCCTGTGTCGCAGGATTGGGGATGTCTGTGCTTCCAGTTAGGGACCCTGCTGGCTGGCTCAGGCTCTGGTATCAGCAAGAACAGCCCCAACGTGCGCTTCGTTCTGTGCAGCTGCCAGAGCGGCTGCCATTTCAGCACTCACTCTGGGGCCTTGCAAAGATTTAAATGAATCCCAGCATGATTCATATGTCCCTTTCCCTGCTTCTCCTTGGGTTAGACAGGCTCCAAACTGGGAGTGGGACAGAATGACTCCTGGGCTTCCCCCAGGCTCCTGCCATCCCTTCCTCACCTCTTTGTGAGACCTCAATGCTGTCGGGCACACAAGATGCCTCAGGTGCCCTACTCCCACAACACAGATGGGGCAGTACATGGTCAATGAGTGAGTGGGGTGACTTGGTTCTCTCTAGTAAGGAAACCTGTAGTGCAGTGTGCTGCAAGGAGATGTTCTGGCTGCTGCATGGTTCTCCCAGGTCTCCCCACTGCGGCTCTTGACCATTATGTGCTGCTTGTGATCCATTAGTTTGTGGCTTGCGGTCAGGGTTAAATCTGGCTTTGAGAGGCAGGTGCTGTGGCAGGGAACTAAGCTGGAGACAAATTAGGAAATACTAAAGGTGGCTGATAACACTTTGCACTTCTTGAACATCCGTATGGGTGTTACCCCTCAGGAACAGGGTCACCTTAAGCCAGTGGGAAGGGGCTATGCAATAGCAACAAAGTTAGCCTGCTCTTCTGTGAAGTCTTTTCTCATCTGAAAAACATCAACTGTAAGTTTACAGTTTCACTTTTCCATGTTGGCATGAGAATAATTAAATACTCTGCAGAAAGTGAATGAGGCATTTGTGTAAATAGCAGCATTTTAAAATATGAACTGAAAATCTAGGAAACCTTTGTACACCCACCTTTGCTGTTGCCCTTTTAGCTGCTCTGAGGCCCTTTCATAAAGTTCTCTTTTTACTTTTAAAAAAAGCAAGTATTGTTACCATGTTAGAGCTCTTGGTATTTTTGCTTCGCCTCATAAGGAATAGCTGGTTTTATGATAACCCTTCTTCTCAGCGTCTGATCCTACAGCCTTCTTCCAGACTGAAGCTCTCTGATCTTATGTGAGCAAATATCTTGCAGTTACTTTTTACAATGACTGCAAAAACAGTGTAATAAACCTCAGCAGAACTAGTTCTGGTGATGATGGAGAATTATGAGAAATGCTGTATGAAAGCAAGAAAGCAACCTGTAAGAAGCTGCTTTTCAGAGGTAGAAAAAGAAAACAGTGCAAAGGTGGGCTGAACAGTTCAGAGATGGAAGGATATTCTGATTTTGCTGAAAACAACAGCAGCATTGACACTTTGCTCTTTGCTTCGTGTTCTTTGCTTTTTTTCTCTCTCTATATTGGACACACAGGCATTTTAAAGCAAGATGAGACTTAATCATTTCTCCATATTAATACAGGGATATTTCTTATTGGTTCAAATGAAGCGGTTTCTTTCCAGATGCAAGATGAAAATCCTCCACCCCCAGTTTTGAGTAGGAATAGCTTCCTCAGGAGTAGGTCAGATACATGGCTAAATATTCCAGGCAGTTCTTTTAGAATGAAATTGTAGCTGTGATACAGGTGGCCATTGCATGAGCACTGAAGGTGTTTGCACTCAGTATTCTTGCAGGTAAGTTTCCTAGTGGGTAAAAACCTTGCAGGTTGTTTTTATAATGATACGCTATTGCCATTTAGAAGAATACTTAGTTTCATGGGAAAAATGATGCAAAGTGGTCTGCACAAGTGTTGGCTGATATTTATGTAACAACAACAAATACTGGAGCAGGAACTCAGATGCAAATTACTCTGTATTTCAGGAATATTCCAATCCTGTTTCTAATCTGTGCATTTTCAATTTGACTGCAGCAAATACCAAAGGCGTTATTTAAATATAAGATAGTTTCTTAAAAAGTTACCACAATTTTTTTTCTGACAAAGTTGCACCCAAGAAAGTTTCTACGCATAACGAGAGGTATCTATATAGCTCATACAGACTTGCAAATTTGAAGAAAAGTTTTGCATGTAAAAACTACACAGTAGTACATAAGACAATCTGGAATAGCTCAGCCACCATCCCTCACTGTTTTATAATTATTTACCTTAGCTTAGACGCCAAACATAAAAAAATTATTATCCTTCTGAACTGCCATTTCCCATTACTATTTGGCAAACTTAATTTCATTATATGCTGTAAAAAAAACTCTCTGCAAACTCTGCTAAAGAAACACAACTGTTAGCAAAGTAGCTGAAGCATGTGAGGGTTAAACGGAACTTTTTTCCCATAAGTCTCATTCGCCTGACTTAGAATTCTTTAATAGATACTGAGCAGCGCAAAACTGAAAGTATTTTTAATTTCAGTGCTTTGTATATTTACAGAGGGATTACAACAAACTTCTACACTTTATCTACATTTTAATAGGTCAGTGTGAACATATGAAGTGTATTAAGGTGGACTGCCTTACTTATTAAACTTACGTGAATTCGTCAAAAGCCCTTAGCAGTTGTATGGAATAGGGGCTGGAAAGCCATGCATGATTGAGGTCATGCATCCAGCCAATTTGTAAGATGATCCCTCTGTACCGAGCCATCAGCCATCCTTAGCATAGGGGCGCACTCATACACGCATTCCTGTCAAGTCATCTTGTGAAAGGCTGCTTGCTTCCAGCTTGGCTTGAAAGTGCAACCTTAATAAAACTCACTGAAGTCTGAGAGAAAATAGCAGTTCTGCAGCAGATAGTGTAGGGGAAAGAGACTGGGATATGCATATGCAGCTGACTAAAGCAGGCTACATGCTGGACTGTAACAGAGAGGAAACAATAAATCTTAACTACTATGCAATAAATATCCCCAATTTTAACTAAGAAAACTATCCTCATAGTGAAATTAAAAGAATAAGTTTATCCAAGCTCGAGTACTAAAGTGCGCTTCTCCAGTCTTTTTTCCTAAGACTTTAAGGGAAATTAAGAACAAATTTACAGAAAGAGGAAGAAAAAGTTTTTCGTAAAGTAGGAAAGGAAAGTAGTAATAACATGTCAATTTTCCTTTCCTTTGCTTTCCTGGCAGCGATTCTTGCTCATATAGGCTGTAATAACCAGCGTCGGGGTCCAGAAGCCAGTGGGAGAAGATTTAACCGGATTCAGCATGGGCAGTGCACCTATACTTTCATTCTGCCAGAACAGGACGGGAACTGTCGTGAAAGCACGACAGACCAGTACAACACAAATGCTCTTCAGAGAGATGCTCCTCACGTGGAACAGGATTTCTCTTCCCAGAAACTGCAACATCTGGAACATGTGATGGAAAATTACACTCAGTGGCTGCAAAAAGTAAGTGTTTCTTTTTTTCATTTCTCACTAAATGGATTTTTTTGGTGATGTTTATGCTGTTCAAAGTTTTCATTAGTTTCTATGAGAACTGAGGTAATAAGGATTGATCTAGTTCGTGGCTGTGTCGGGGAGAAATGTTTCATCCAGAGAGCACTCTTCTTAGTGACATTGCTCTTGGGAGCAGAATTTTCTTCACGTTACTGAAAGATGCAACTTCTTAAAGCTTTTTCTCTAGAGACCATGGATGTTTGTGAGCCAGAGAACACAAAAATCCTCCAGAGAGTCTAATGACAGAACTTACTAAGTATTCCTATAAACTCTACTTACAGTTCACAGCTTCAGATCAGATGCCACGCAGGATACCTGTTACTCTGACAGCAAAAGGGAGCATTTAAAAAAGCAGCATTTAAAGGCACTGGGTTGAGAATATAATTGTTCCTTTGTAAGTAGATCCTGTAATACTATTACACTGCTAATTGCTGGAAAGAAAAAAGAAAGTATATAGGCAGTCACACTCCTAAAACAGTACAATTTTTTAACTGTATAGATTACACTGGACTTGAAACAGCCTGTTTTAATTTGTGTGTGTATATATGCATTCTTTCATAAAAAGGAAAAAATGGGTTTGAAGGTGTTGCAGTGACTTAGCAGAAGTAATTATTTTTAAGAATTTGTGCAATAGCTCTAAACTTCTAATGAACTTTTCAATATTTTATGCATGAGCTGAAGTTTGGGCCTGAAAAGACTTAAATATGTGAATAATTTCACCCATATGAGCAGTCTTATTCACCTTAACAGGATTACTCACTTGTAAAATTACATACCTTGCAGGATCTTGTCCATGCCTTGGTAATGAAAATGCCTTGGGATAGCTGACCAGTAAAAATAAATAAATAAACAGTCTTTGTATATAGTTATTTGTAATATTCCCATTCTCACACTGGCATATTGATCTGGCAAAACTTAGAAAACTGAGCAATTGAGTGATGCAACTAGTCACGTACGATGGCACAAGAATACTTCTGTATGTACCCATTTGAGAGATACATGATTTAACTGTAGCAGAAGTTCATAGTAAGAATGAACATCAATAAAAATTTAGTGAAGACTCTACTAGGTGCACTAAAACTTCATGTTAGCACAGTTATGTTGCCTATCTCATTGCCAAGTTTTATTTCATCCAGACAGTATACAAGACAGAAATATGTTAAAAAGCATATACAGCTGTCCCCATCCCCCTAGCCCTACTAAAATCTTTAGGGAAAATTTCCCGATCTCTTAAATTAATTGTGCTCTTTGCATATCTGGCTCTAGCAAGAGAGAAAAGACTCTGTCCAGTAAACATGTGACTATCAAAGAAAATATAACCAAGCATTTCCTTTTTAGACTACTTTCCTCATTTTTTAATATCTTGGTCTGCTTTGGGGAATATAAAGCTGGAAACGAGGGGATGTCTTTTGTAGAGGAAAGCATTTCTTAAGAAATTATTTTACTGTACCTTGGGAGGCTGAGGCAAGCACTAAAAAGGGGAAAGTTGTTATCTGTGTTTATGCACACATGATTTTACTTGAGCAAATTGCCTGCTGAATCATGCTTATAAGACCTTACTTATTCTGGGTTTGTCCACTAGAGACTGAACTAAGATCACTGTTTCACTGTGAGCTGAACATGAAGAAATATGAGTCTCTGGAGTGTGGATGTCTGAGTTAGTGTTAGTCCTCTCACACTTTGGAGGGAAGTGATTAAACAGGTAGGCAGCCCAATGAAAGAGGTTTATATTTGAGGACTGTTTTCTTCTGCAGTGATTGCAAAACTGGCTATGGGCAGAACCACCCCCCTCCTCCTTTCCTTCCCAGCCCCCAACCCTCTGCTCCCAGGGGTTTACATAAAACTGGGATTTTGCACGTATCCCCATGTGTCAGTTTTCCCTGGAATGAAAAGACCCGTTTCTCTGTGTGATGGAGTATGGCTCACGCTGAACAAATGAGGCTGATGCAGCTGCATTATAGCATCTCTGAATACTGAATTTGCTTTGTTGTTGTTGCCATTACAAAGGATCTCAGCCATAACTCATTTCCTTTCAAAACAAGCATAATGCTTAAGTATGATGAATATATTATGTAGATATCTCACATCTCATTTTTATACTCTGCATTTATTTCCCCCCTAGATATTTAATATCAGATATAACTGCTGCTGCACTAAACAGCATTTTACAATGCACCTGCTGTGAACAAAGTAAAGAAAAATTAATGGTTATAGATCTATGACTGGAAGTGAACAGTTATAATAAGAAATAATGTTTAAGAATTTGAGATATATTCTGACTTACCTAAAGGAAATATGTTTATTACTTCAGATAATATATATAACTTTCATTAAAATTGTACATAGGCAATGTTTGGCAGGGTGAATTATTTTCTCAGCACAAATGCTAACCTCCAATATTGAAAGAGTATTTATTAAGAACATTTGTAAGAATTATGGTTTGCTTAACTCTGTAGTATTTAATTTAATTTAAAAATGTTTTTCCTTGATGTCTAAACTGTCAGACTTCTAGAATAAAAACAAGCAGTCTTTAAAAAAAAAAAAAAGGCAATATTTCTATGCTTAAAACCAAACATGCTTCTTTGATGACCTACAAGCTTGCTTGCAGATAAAAATGCTCTTACTTGGGGACCCAATTACAGGCAATTAAGTCCCAGCCTTGTCCATTAGTATTTGCATATCTATAGTCAGCATAACCGGGATTGGTTGGCAAACCAGGGACGTGGCAAAACGCTCTGCCCAGAAACTGCTCGAAAGAAGATGACTTGGTAAACATTTTTTGAGATTTTCCTAGAACTGTTTATTTTAATACCGGATAACTTTCCCCATTGTTTAAGCTTGGGTTTCATTTCTGCAATATGTTTATACTAATAGTTCAAAACAAACAGTTCATCACATTTTCTTTCTTGCAGTAACTGACTGGCACACGTGATACTGTTTGGTATTTAATTGCAGTGTCTAAGTATTGCCAAAGAGGAGTTACATGAAATGTTATCATCATGTCTTGCTTGGGAACTTTCTGTTAGTCAGCTTGCTGAACTTAAGGTACCGACAGACTCAGTACACATTCAGGATAGCTGTGTAGATGAGTGTTTCATATACTTACCCCTCAGTTCAAATAGTTGTAATAATTGTTATTACAGTGATAAGTGAGTTTTGCATGATCCACTCTTTCTTTTTTTTCTGATCATTACCTAAGCAAAACACTATTAAAGTTTACAATGAATGCTTAACGATAGTATACTATAAGAAGCTAACACAGACGTACAAGTTTGAGTTGAAAGTGAACCACAATCATTCTGGTCAGCCAGTATCCAAACTTAGATCTTTTTTTTTCCTTTTCTTTGGAAATATTGATGGCATCACTACACTTAAACCAAATAAAGAAGCTCCGACTCGTTTCCCTTTCCCTTCAAAGTCCCTGTGGTGTCACCAGCTCTAACAGAAGTATAGAACGATGAGCTGGATTCAGTCACTAAAGAAATAAATTATGAACATTTTTTTCTGGGATATCTGAAGCCATTTGATAGTCTAAAGTTTATTCTTACCATGGTTTCAATAAATTATTTATCTATGTATGGCATTCTTCGTGCTCTCTGTTGAATTCTTTACTTTGCAGAAGTAATGTTACAAGTTCTCGCTTGGGTTTTAAACACGTAAGGAACCCAGGTTTTGAGGGGCACTAGTCATCATATAGAAGAAACTGGCTTTTGTAAAAAATGATACCTGTCACTGAGTGCTGTGGCTTCACTGGAAGTCTGCCCGTCTCTGCTGTCTTTACCAGCGCCTACCACTGCAATTAAGTAGCAATGATATGCTTATGTGTGCGGCGTGGCTGGAGTTTACCTTGGATTTTATATGGTTTGCTGAAGATGGGAAAATTCCTTACATGTCACTCTTGCTGTGAAGCTGTGTGAAAGTGTGACAGAGCCTGCACTGAAGAGGACAGATCTAAAGACTTGTCATAATATCCTGTGAGGCAAATTTTTATTAATATAAAGATGGATATGTCCATAGTGCATGTAAGATTTTGTCACATTAAGAAGCCACTTTCCCCTAGTTGAACTAGTACAAGAAACAGTAAAAATTCCATTTTATTTATGATTATGTCCCACTGGGCATTTTGTAATGTAACAAGTAACCCTAAAGTCCATGTAATATTTGTGTATGTTAGCTGCAATCAGGAGATCCATGATGAACTCCTGTTAATTTCCGCAAATAAAAGCAGGTTATTAGATTTGGAATCTACCATTCTGCTTCTATGAGCATTGCTAACAGGGTTGTGTAAGGAATGGCTTTCCATTTTTCAAGGTGGACCAGGGCTAAAAGCACACAGTGAGAGTGCTTCATCCAAAACTGTCCACTAGCTTCTTATTTGGCATCCAGCTTGAACCTGGATTTCTTGTCTAGACCCAGAAGCTGTTTACTATTCTAGGTGCTCCTTTTTGCTTTGGATTCAATTAATTTTCATATCCAAATCAGACCCTCATCTTAGTGACATTTGAAGTGCAGTTCCCACAAACTAGCTGTGAAACAAATGATGGGATTCAAATTAGTGCGATTACTTATATAGCATGTACTCCTCAGTGGGCAAGTATATATATTTAAGGAGCGAAAATAAGTTCATAGAAACAAACTGGTTCTAAGAAAATTCATGTTTGACTGTAAAACCAAAATTCCTTATTTACCTCTAAAAAATCTCTTAGCCAATAATATGGGTGCATTTCAAAGCTTTATTAATAAAATTTCAGAAGCCCTTGGGATGTTCTGAGGTACCCACAACAGAGAAGCAAGACTTCAAATGTGGAAATGCCTGAAAGCTTTACATTATTAAGGGATAACCTATTTGGCAATTTTTTTTTTAAGATGCAGAAGAATCAGAGAAGTAGACTGAAGAGCAGTCTCACATGTTGCTACATTTGGTAGAAAATTACTTAAAAAAATATTTCCCA